TTTTTTTACCGTTACGTGATCGCGAGATTCTTTTGATGTACATCAAAGGATCGAACTAGTCTTCTTGTCTCATCACACCGAGCCTTCAATTTTGCCACGACATATTCCAGGGGTGTAGAGAGCAAAAGTAAGCGTAACCCCTGGATATCGAGGATGGGGTGCCACAGACTGATGACACTTCTGATGATGCTGTTCTTTCTGTCGAGACCAGTTGTATTCGTCCTTTCAGAAAACTCTAAACAGGAAAGTGTTGGCCCCGTATACCGAAAGACTCCAGCTTTCTCAATGAACGTTGGTACAGCAACCGGTCGAGCGCTCTGAAAAAAGATAGCGCCTCTTCAAAAATCCCAGGTTATGCTCACTTTCGCCCTCTCCACAAAGAATTTGAGGATGGGATAGATCGACGTTGTTCTGAAGATGAATGCAGAAAGTAACAAACTGTATGTCGCTACTTCTCCTGGTCCAGAATCCGTTATGGAAATTATTCAGCCTCAGTTGTTTAACTCAAATTGCTGAATAAAAAATCAAGAAACAATTAAGGGCCTTCAGAGCAAAATGATACCTCAAAACATATCAATCGCCTGTCTCAACAAATATATAGCATGGAATGATATCAGAGGTTCTTGATTTTGTTCCATTCATGTTTAATATTTTCCCTAACCATTGGTTAATTCTAACCAACCTCTGAGCAAATGGTACCAGAATGTTATGTTTGTTTAATGGTTCATGACGTTGGAAACAATATGTTCCCGAGTCTTCCAACATGTAGGTAAATGACCGACGATTACTGGGTTTATACGTTCCACATTTCTTGAAGATTTGACTGTATGAACTGTATTTGCTTCTATAAACAACCATTTCATATCATATTTCCATTAAACCGGGGCAATTATATTGTGGCTCAACACATGAAATGTTGTCCCCTCCTGTCTTTTTTCACTCCGCAGCAACCCGCAGTACAGCGATAGTGATGGGGGAAAAGAAGAACAAAATGTAAGACCTCGTAATCAGGATATCCTGATCGGATTCTCTATTAAAAGTTTCTAGGATTGCAAGTCAAAACGACGATGTTCTTTTTGATAGCGATGTATCATTTATATAAAGGCGGGAGTCTGATTCGAAGATATCAGTAATATTCTTAATATAAACCATTTACCATTTAAAGTGTCCTAATATATTGAGCTTACAATCCAGTATGTTAAACCCTATCGAATTCTTACTTTTTTCGATTATTCGGTTAAATATGATATTATTCGGGGTTTTTTTAATTTTTATTCTCTGTATTACTACTACTGAACTGATTACAGCCACTGGATGTTGAGTCCAACTCAGGTAGGAGTGACTTGAATATTTAAATACGAGGACTGTTACACATAAATTAAAATATATAGAAATAGTCGGCGAATATAACATCGTGTAACACTGTATCTAACTGGAACTCGATGACCACGTCTCTATACCGGTGATATATGTATATAGTTTCCAACACAGAGACAAGCCCCATTCTATAAAGTACTACTTTATACATATACTGTTACGCTCATTGTATATCCCTGTAGCTTTCAATGTCCCTTTTTACTTCATAGTTTTCTTTATATACAACCAAAAGAGTGACCAAAGGCCACAAGCTAGGAACCCACCAGTGTCATCAAAATAGCCTTGATTGGCTCGTCCTTCAAAACGATCCGGTGCGAAAGGACTGGGCTATCAATCTATATTTCCTGAATACGGAAAGACATTACTCAACTGAAAGCGACTCGTTATCAAATGGTCTATTTTAATATAAAGTTCTTCTGATAAAACGATACTTCCCAGACAACTACTTAGTGGTACTCCAGTGACGAGTCGGTATGAAACGATGTTGTTCTATCGGGAGCATGTATTCCTCTTCACTAAAGCTTTGCCATTAACTAAAGGAGAAGGAAACAGAAGGGGAAAACAGCATGATCCGCATACGTCTCCACCACCAACACCACAGAGAAATGAAGGTATGAATGTACTACGATGTGATGAAAGAGTACGTGTTTCTGCTACACGTGTGGCACCAAGTCTCTTATTCTGAAAAGAAATTCCTTATTTCACCCCCCCCCCCCCCCCCCCCCCATTTTGACGTTTGGAATAAGCAGAATTCCTCATACTTTACTATTTACTTATATTCAATTTCTTCATTGAGGAGAACAGCTAAAACTCTTTCTCTTTTAAACATAACATTTGTACAGTCCACCAGCTGGCAACCTAAGCCTCACAGAAAACACGAGACATTGAACAAGACCGCTTGAAAATGTGTGAATTGGGCCACTCCAATATTGATAAGTAACCAACTTCATTATGAGGACAAAACCAAGCAAGAAAGTTGCCATCAAAGACAAAGACTTAGATTTTGAAAACGAACTTGAAAAAACGTTTTGAGAAATAAACGAGACTACTATGCATGGCTCATCCTTGCAAGTAATCCGTATTAAGAGATAGACAGAATTCCTGTTAAGAGGGTTGTTGTAAGTAAGGATGTGGCAGATATTGTTAGAGAAATTTTGTTTTTTTGGATACGGAACAGGACTCGCTGCCACTCATCTATTACTTACTCGTATGACGAAGCAGAATGACAAGTTGTGGTTCCATCAGGAGAATGTATCCTGTCTTTATCTCAGACAATGTAACAATGTTTTTACAGTATTGAGGAGTTTCGTAATAGAGCGGAATAACTACAAGGAGTAACTTTAATTACATTATGAAACAGACTCTGAAAACGTCGTTTCATAATAAAAAAAAATCAAATTTGCAGTTTCTTCCATAGAGAAGCGGTTACAGACAAATGGAAAGTTATACGATCGCGAAATGAAAGTCGGCTCATCAATCCTAGAACTTGCTGATGGACATATCGTTATGTAGGAAATGTCTGCAACTAACAAACGGGCTATTTCATTTACAGAAGATTAAATTTGATGCAGGAATTATTTGAAATTCTTGTACGAAAATGTTTAGAATATAATCTAATTCTACAAAACATTATTGTCTGGTTCTATTCGATTATGAGGATAAGGTCTGTGAGGTATGTTGACATAGAACAAGAGGCCCATGGGCCTTAACGGTCACCTGAGTCCTACAGTATTTGTTTTTGATGTTAAAATATGTACCAATTCGAGTAAAAAATAGTTAAGTATAATGTTAACTTAACTTTGTCAGGACCATGAGCTGATCGTTCCTAGACCAATTTTAAGTGAGATCGGCCTATTAGAACTTGTTTTTAAGTTTGAAATAGGTATTTACAAAATAGCGGCTATGGCAGCCACATCATATTTCTGATTGACCCGAAAAATAACAACACTTTGTCAGGACCATGATTCGATCATTCCTACAAAGTTTCAGTTCAATCAGCCAAGTAGAACTTTACTTTAAGTTTGAAATAGTTTTTCAAAATGGCGGCTGTGGCGGCCATATTGGATTTCTGATCGACCCGAAAAATAACAACACTTTGTCAGGACCATGAGGCGATCATTCCTACCAACTTTCAGTTCAATCGGCCCAGCAGAACTTGACTTTAAGTTTAAAATGTAAAATGTTAACGGACGACGGACGACGGACGACGACGGACGAAAACGGATAGCAATAGGTCACTTGAGCTAAAGCTCAGGTGACAACTTGAAAAGAACTCGAACCCATGAAAACAGGAAAACGGATTAAACGACAGACGGGATTACTGTTCCCTGTTTGAAAAATATTAAGAGTTACTTCCCTTCAATCGTAGCTACCATCTCTTATATATATACAGAATACTATACGGGTAACATTAGAATGTTCATGTTATATAGTATATATAATTGTTTTTACAAAACAGATGTTTATTTCGACCTTTGGTATGACAACACACCATATTATTTTTGTATTTCATACTGTAAAGAATGCATTTCTGATGAGTTTGGGAATTTCTTTTTGTAAATGCAAAAATAACCGACGGGCAATCAAGATCTATTGGCGGACACATCTCTTGTGCCCCACTCCCCGAGTATGATCTCCTACATGTATATACCATATACCATGGTGTGTGCGGCCTTTGTGTGTGTGTGTGTGTGTGAGTGTGTGTGTGTGTGGGGGGGGGGGGGGGGGGTGTACAAAATATGAGTGTCCCCTGCATGAACTCTACAACACATAACAAAAACTACTTGAAATTAGTTGTTTTTTGTTTTAATACAAAAGTCTGAATAACCATAATTGTACAAGAAATTAGGAATGTGAACTTCAACCTTATTACTATAACTCTGCCACATAAAGAAAACTGGGTGGGTGTTCTGAAATTAAAATAAACTGTATAAAAATGTCACCTTGTAGAATGGAAAAAGTACAAAATATTTCATTTGAATAAAGCAATGCAAGTCAGACTCTAACGAATCAGGAAATGTTTATGAAATAACAGTGCCATTGATGATAAATCAATTATCTCTAGTTACTAATTAAAGATTTTCAATGGTGTTTGTTTAAGTGAAAAATATGTAATAAAGTAATCGTAAAAAAAGAATAGACGTTTTCTAGAGAAAACAATTAAGGCTTTAAGTGACATACGATAATATCAGAACAAATTATAACATTTCTGTAGCATTATATATTTCCGCTTTGTATTTATAAAACATCTGTACTCACTTTGCTTTGTAATAGAAATGTATTAAGATGTTGACCTCTTGTAGCACACCTTGGGTGTCATGAGTGAATAAATAAATCTTGAATTTTAAGAAACTTTTACAACAATCTGGCCTCCTCTGAAAACACTTGTATTCTTCAATATTGAAGTATCTTCTGAACTTCTCATAAAATTAATTTGTTCAAGGTAAAGTATGACCTTCTTTAAGATCACAGAAATATTTCTTTTTTTTATTTGACATTTAGATATTGAAATGTCTATTTAAAAGCAACATTTGAAAATTAATACTTTTTTTGAAAGTTCAAAATGTGAATGAAAAAGGGGTCTAATTTTAGATATGTAAATGTCAAGCTTGTGTGGTGACATGCTTAATTTCCAAAATTTAATACTAGAGAGCACATGTAGCGCTTACTTTTAATGAGAAATACTTGCAATGATATATATCTAAAGCAATTAATACATGTATAGAGATTTCCTTTGGTACATGCTGGCAAATTATGCTTAATTTTTCTTAAAAGAATGGTTCATCATTGAGAGTTATTACTTACTATAACTATCTACAAATCTCTCCTGTTACATTTTGAAACTATGTTAAACTAAAACATCAATGATTTTTCTAAATTTTCAAACTGAGGTCTCTTTAATGAAATTGGTTTACACATGCTGAAAAAATAGACATAAAAGTATTAAATCATTTGAATTTATCAATTCACCTAAATGCAAAAAAATATTCTCTTTAATTTGATCTGATGGATTTTACTTCAACTAGATAGGCAAATACAATGACTTAATCCTACAAATAGATATCAATAACAAAATGTTGGATGTCGAATACAATGACTTAATCCTACAAATAGATATCAATAACAAAATGTTGGATGCCAGTGCAGTATTAGGACTTGGATATACTCCACGTTTAACCTCAAGCAAACCTTACCAAGCACTATATCAATCAAGGAATCAATCTGTAGAATTCTTTCTGTCGGGATTCTTTTCTCCAAATTGAAATTATGCTCTATATTTTCACAATGATAATATTTTTCTCAGATCAGAAGTTTCAATTTTTGCAACTTTATGACAGTTTGGACTTTCCTTGCTATCAAGTGTAACACATCAGCTTCAGTAGAATTACATGTTTATAATGTTACATTGTTTTACTATTAACAAAACCTAGCACATAGGTTAAAAAATCACAAAAGTCGTAATTTTCATAGAACACAATAGAAATCACAATATGATACGCAATAACCTAGAATTATATATAAAACGAAATAAACAATATCAACAATGATAAATATCAATAAATTTCACTAACATGTGAAACTGAGATGAAATCATATCATATTATCCTTTTTTTTTGTCTTATAACATATGAGACAAAATTGTCATAATTAACATCTAGACAGTCTTTCTACAGTAAATTGAAGGTAAATGTAATTAATACATGCCATCAGGCTAACATACGTGGGAGAAAATGCATTTAAAAACCAAAAAAACAAAAATGTCTTTCTTCAGTTAATTTAAGGTAAATATTATATGTGCCTTCGGGCTTACCAGTACATAAGTGGGAAAACATGCATTTTTTAAATACCAAAATACAAAAGCAAATATATAAAAAGAAAACTTATAACGAACGAAAATCCTGAACATTTTGACCTCAAATATATAACGTGCAAGCTTTATCACAGGGAAGCTTTGTTAGATCAATCAAGAAAAGAGAACTATCAAAAACAAAACAAAAAGAATTTGTGTCAATGTTTGAGGATTTTTTTAACACTTGTTTTAGGATTTCTGACATTTTCTAGAACAAATAGAAGTATCAAGTCATGGATTTCATAGATAAAGCAAATCTTAATAAGTAAATGAACAAATTAATACAGAATATTTGAGTTACAACAATGTTTTCATACAAGAGTGTAAATGGAAAAAACAGTATGTAGCTATTGCAAGAAACACAATCAGATTTCGATAATTACTATTTTTTTCCTGGACAGTAAATTGAAACTTTAAGTAACATTGAGGCTTAATAAAATCTCTGTAAATGAGGCTTACCAGTTGATAACATCTTTGTAAATATAAGGGCAGTATGGTAAGTCTTTTATAAACAATTAGGTGGATCATAAGTCAAGATGACATGTATGATGAAGAATGTAAACTATTAGGTATGTTACCTTGATATAAACAAGTCCATGGTTGATTTTATATATAATACTTAAAGGAAAAAAACCTAATATATGCACTGAACAGAGCACTATGTTAGTAGCAAGCGCAGATATTACAAATTATTGTTTTAATACCATAACTTTGGTTAATCTATTATTTTCTATGCAGTTTTTCTGTTTGCATCACCCACTAATATAGTACAGTATTTAATCGTTATCAAATAATAGATTTTGCCAGTCATAAATATCTGTACAGTAGAGTGACAATAAAAGTCATCATAGACTAGATATTTGACATTTGCACTCATGAGGATATTTTTGTATTGAGGTGATCGGATTGATTTAACAAGTGTTTTATCAAAATAATAATTTTAACTTCCAGGGATCAAATTTCACCAAAATTAGAATTGCTATCTTTCATAAGAAAGTATTTTTAACATATATATGCCATTTTAGCAAATATAGAATACTTTCCCCAAACAGGCGCTTCAAAATATGATATTGAATTGGTGTTTATCTCCATTATTGACAGTAAAAAAGGGAAAAACAGGTTTCTTCACTTATCTCTGTATCTATATGGTATTGAAATTCACATGGGCATTTAATTTGGGGCCAATTTGATGACTGTGAATAAAACAAAATTAAATCCGCCACAAATATTTAAATACCAACTTTACAGTATTACCCATGTTATTAAAGCTTAAGGTAGTTTTTGAAGAGTATATTTTTAAGTAAAGTAATTATTAAGGGAATATAAAAAAGAAATAGAGAATAAGCTGTTTATCCATACCACCCTTATATTGTTATTTACAAGTAAATGTTTTTTGGGTGAATTTTGAAGATAAAAGGAAATATGGAATGCTGAATTAAATGGTCTTAACTTGGTATCCTAAAACAACCTCATTGCATTCACACCCTAACCAAAATATATATTTTATTTACAATGAAACAGCATCATATTATCACAGCGTACAAAGGAGGCATTGACATAATAGTTTTTGGCAATGTTGCTGTTATGAGAAGCATTTCATAATCAATGACCTGGTGAGCTGCTAAAAAAAATCTTTTGCTTTATGATGATAAGATAGAAATGTTCATCAGAAGTTTGTGATCTGATGAGGCTTACATATTGTAGTTTTTCTACAAGATGACATATTGTAAATTTAGTAAATATATATTATTTGGTTATATAACTCATGAGATACCATCTCCTGTATAATAATATTTAGTTTCACTTCCTTTCCTACGTAAATATGTTTTACCCGTTATCTCCCCCAATTATAATACTAAGAAAATTTTAGATTACCATATTTTTTTTGCAGTGCAAAATATTGTAATTTTAAAAACAGAACATTAAAGCTAACCTTTAACACAGTGTTACCATTTTCTTGTAACCATGAACGACCTTAACAGATTTCAGTTCCTTTTTTTTAATATATATTTAAGTAAAATGAACTAATTTGAATATGTACAAAAGAATCTTAGTACATCTTCATAATTGTGTATTGCCATATTTTTCAAATATATCATCTTACAACTCTTCTGATCTTTACCCAAAAAACCTTGACTTTTTTTTTTATTTCACGAGAGAAATATGTGAATACATGAAATATTGACCTATTAAAGGTACATTCCATTGATCAAATAATCTGCTTCGTTTGAATGCAGAGCCCTACCTTTCCTTATCCTTCTTTTAACATTACGTAACCTGCACCCTACATATATAAGCAACATCATGGTGACCCCTAGACCTAGGGCCAGTGCTACTATAGGTCCCTGGGAGCTGTCCGTTGGGGCCTCCACAATCACCAATCCATCCTCCTCCCCGAATGCTACTTCCACTCTTTCTGCTTTGGTGGGATTTGTAACACCTTTTTCTGTTCCTACATTATTGCTTGCAGACTTTGAGTTATTTGACGTCACCGGTTCCACCTTGACTGTAGGCTTTGGAGCGGTCTTAGATTCTGTTTTCTCTAGGACCTCTGTTACCTTAGGTTGTGTCTTTTCTGTTTTTGTCTCTTCATGTGTTGAAGGTTTTTTGTCAACTGTATCAACTGTGGCAATAAAACAAAGACAGAGTATATAACCATGAACATACAGACAATCCAGCTTCACTCGTACAGATCAATGGAGGATCCGACACCAGGTTATTTTGGAATATATTAACAAGTAATATAGACCCACTTGAACCTTAACAGGTCACTTGAGACTTTGATATCAGTAAATCCCGAGATAGATCAGATAGATAAACAGGTAATACACACTGCTCCCACATACTTATCACTGTTGTTAACACTTTCCATCATTCTAATACTTTGTTTATATTTGTTTGGGTCAAAATCAGCTATTTTAAAATAAAGACAAATATCATTATTTCTAACCAGAGCTCATGTTTAAATGATCAAAACCCTTCCTCTAATGATTTAAATCAATCTTGCATAAACACTAGTTACTGTAACAATTCAACCAATCACAACACATGTTACTTCAGCCCAGCGATCAAACCCACAACAAGAGTAAATTGAATTATCTCCCCTCCATTAACAACAGTTCGTTTGTGATACCTTTCTCTTTAGTAGGCTGTGGTGTGGTTTTAGGAAAGGGTGTTGGAGAAACCTTTTCTGTCACTGTTTTTACTGGCTTCCTTGTAACTGAAAAGACAAAATGATAACATGCATGTATCTTCATTATTTTCTGTTTTTACATCATCGGCTGAAAAGTTCTCAATCTGACAGTGATAAACATCAACTCACCTCTCATGTCGTTTGGTTTTAGTAAAGATCAAATCTTACAGAAAAAAATATTGTACAATTTAAGCAAATTTTAGGTTTTTAGTCCCAAGATTTTTTAAAAGCCCCCCACCCACTTTTTATTTACTTCATAAGTGAATTATCTCCCCCCACCCCTCTCTGGATAACTGGTTTTGAATCCCTATAAGCAGTGACTGTATCTTACCTGCCTGGCCAGGTGCCTGACTTATGGTCTGTGCTGCTACAGGTGGTTCCTTTTTATGGAAATCTACAACATACAGTCACAAAAATATAAACAAACATGCACATGGAACCATAGAGCCTACTCGCCATTAATCTCACAAAGTTCACCCTGAAGAAACTGGTTTTTTTTAGCATCTTCACTTTGATGCATTTTATAACAATAATAGTTCACTTACCCACCAAACAACAATTATTGATTAGTTCATATTGGGTAGGAATTCATTAGCTTTCTTTTTTGACATCAATACATTCTAAAATTATATGATCTTAATTCACAAAAGATGGCAAAGAATTTTAACCGCTGAATATTACATGGATGAATCTACAATATTTTGTATTTGTTTTCCAATTTTGCAGCTGTGGGTGATGAGGTGTTACAATAACTTGTTAAACAGAATCTTGTTTTGGATGGTACAACATGTAATACCAAATAACAACATAAATACACACTACCGGTATTTGAGTAATTAATAAAAATAAACAACAACAAAGTAGGCATGCTACATGAAAGGTAGTGATGAAAATAATCATAATAGTGAACATAATAGAGCAAGGAAAAACAAAAGGATTTTCATATCCTTCTCTAATTATTCAAAAAGCATTTTATTACATAAAAAACAACACACAAGTGAAAAGACGATAAAAATGCACACTTTTTATAGGTCTAGAGAAAATTCAAGTCAAACAAATAAAGCTTCATAATTATTTACATTTCTTATTTCAATTCTGTAAACTTTCTCATATAAACAAATCAACTAAGATATTTAAAGGAGCAATATGGGGAGGGGGTGAAAAAAGTGGATGAAGGTCAGAAGAAAGAGAAGAGGTAGAAAAAAAGGGATGTAGAGGAGGAAAGGATGGAACAGAAGAAAATGGAAAAGGAAATAAAGAAAAGAAAAAAAAGGAAATAGAGAAGAGAAAAAAAAGTGAGGTCGAAAAGATGAAGGAAAAGGACAGAAAAACTTAAAAGGAAGATGAGATAGAGAAGAAAAAGACAAAGGAGAGAGACAGAGGAGTTAGATAACAGGACTAGTGAAGCACAGAAATCTTTCTTTCAAATATAAGTGATTAACCAGAAATATACTTCAAATTTACAAAACACAAATGTAAATACTACATCACAATATTTGGTGAACTACTGGATCACAATAATAAAACAAAAGATGATTCACACATTAAACACCAACATAATTGTTTCTCTATAATGATGCAAATAATACAACAAAGTAGGAGACTACAACATTGAAATCAAGGTTCCACATGAATGCACAACAGCCACGACACACCGGGTACCTTTATGGAACATATCGTAATCGTAAGTTGGAGCTTCATCCCCATAGTTGTTGGTGTCGTATGTGAGATAGTCTCCGCCGTACTGTGGGTCCCAGTTATAGTTCTGGAAGTGTTGACCCCGGTAGTCAGTGTTGTAGTATGGAAATCCATCTTTGCTATAACCCACTGGTCGTAATTGCTTCCTCCCATTGGGGCGTACTCGGTTTGGTCTTCCAGGCTGCTGTGGTCGCCCTACTGGACCACTGACCTTGGATTGTGACTTGGTTGCCTCCCCTGGTATTGGTCCATACTTCCTTCCGTCATTGGCAGGACCATTAGGTCTAAACTTTTTGCCAGACATATTTGACTGGACACTAGTCTGGCCTCCTCTCTGACTTGGTGAATTCATGTCTGATTTATCTTGTCTCATGTTATTTTCTCTGCCTTGACTATTTATTTGCTGATCTGGATAACCTGCATTTCTGTTTGACCCAGTCATGTGCTCACCCCATTGCTGAAACTGCCTGTCTGTGTTAGGGATATCCGGAAGAGGTGGGGTGGTGGTGGTGGTAGTGGTGGGGGTTGCAGTTGTCGGTCTGGATGTGGTGGTAGGTTTAGTGGTGGTAGTGGTGGTTGTAGTGGGTGTGGTAGTGGTGGTGGTAGTAGTTGTAGTAGTGGTGGTTGGAGGTTTAGTAGGCTTCTGCTGGACTGCTTCATTTTCATTGTCACTGAATACCTTATGGTGACTTTGGACATTTTGTTGAAAATTTCTGTCCTTGTAGTACTGGTCATCATTTGGAAATTTACTATCTGGCAAGGCATCACCTCCGTATTGGTCATACCGCTCGTCTGAGAAAGGGCTATAGGGGTGGTTTCTATAGGGACCCTGTCTATCCATCCCAAACTGATTATCAGGACCAGCCTCTGCTATATAGTGTCGGTCACTGTGCGGGTCAAGTTGGTAGCTTTTCTCCTGACCATTTGGATCTCCTAGCATATACTGCCTGTGAGGGTCTGGCACTCTCTGTGAATTATCCATCCCCTGAACAGGCCTGATTGGCAAACCCTGTCTGCCAGTTAGATCATCAGTGTACAGGGGCCGGTTACCCAATCCTCCTGGCATCCTAGGGTAACCTGACCGGTCATAATATCCTGACCCTGACTGTGGTCCCACTAGATTGCCTGACTGGGGACCCCAGTATGACCCCTGCATCTGTTGGTTCATCATTGGTCCATTCTGAGGTAGAACTTGTTGTTTAGGTAGGAACCCAGTCTGCTGTCCTACACCTGTATTCAACATAGGGTTATTCACCTGCTGCTGCTGCTGCTGACTGGGTATGTTATTGAATCCTGCAGTACTTCCCTGCTGATAAGGTGATCCAATAAGACTGGAAGACACCTGCTGTTTTCCATTTGTACCTTGTAAACTATGACCTGGCACAGGTTGAGCCTGTGCACTTTGTACTTGCTGCTGGGCTTGATGACCTTGACCTTGTACTTGAAAACTTGTTTGTCCTTGACCTTGGTAGATCTTGTTTTGGAAGTTAGTTGGTGGAATACCAGGGTTTGATGACTGTTGAGGCTGCTGATCAGACACATGGTTCTGAGGGTCAGCTACAGCTGCCGATTGGACAGGAACTGAATCTAAACAATCAACACATTCCTGACTTTGTAAAATTAATGTACTACATGTTCTACAAGAATATTTACAAAGGTCTTGTTTAAATTAGCATATGTCAATAATTTTAAGCAAAACTTTAGCAAAGTAATCAATGATTTTGTAAAAATTCTAGAATTCTGGACAAAATTTTGAGCACTCCCTTCCCTCTTATCTAGTATGTCAAGGACAAGTAAACGTGGAACTAATTGGTCTTTCCGCACCAACGCTAAGTATATGTAATAGTAAGATATCTTTTATTTATTTTTTAAATAGCAATTTATGATAGACTGACCCAAAATGACAATGCTACTTAACTTCAGTCAGTTGTTTTACATGAAAAATAACGTACAAGTTAAAATCAATAAATACTGGCAGCCTCTTGGGACCAGTGCTCAGAAGTGTCAACACTATACAGGCATGGTAATGCAGAATTATGCTGAATTCAGTGGAAATGTTTCAGACATTCATGGTATAGATTCCCAGAAGACCAGCACATGTCTAAACCAATCAATCACTGAAGCTTGGATCTTATCCAGACAGTGAACCAATTGAAAAATACACAGAAAGATATTGTTCCTAAAACTCGTCAAAACATATAATATGGAAAAGTATGACAGAGGTAAGGACCAAAAATTGTTTTTATCACTGGAAAAAGTCATGAAAATTTAACATACCCAATTCACAAAAAAAAACTTAGATTGTAGAAGAATAAATATCATGTTTTCCGATTTACAAGAAATAAATAATTTAAAGTTTTCATTTTTTTTTCTTTTTTCGTCAGCAGTTTCTTTGTTTGTGATGTCAGTCCCACTGTAATGTCCTATCAGTTCTAACAGACATACAACAGAATGACAGAAAAACAATCCTCAACAATTTCAAAAATCACATTTTCAAAAAATGATAATAAATGTAATAACAAAATTGAACTTGGTGACAAACGATAACGATTCATAAATGTTTAGATTACTTATCATATATACTTATCAGAATATAAACCTTAAAGTACTGGTTATCTTGTCCAAAAAATTCTTAGAAAATTCTTTCATCATCGATTCTCCTTTGACTTGTGCACACCTCTATATATATATAGAAGAATCCGAAGCCTTCAGCAGTAGGCCCCTGGCAATTTGTGTTTCCAGGGCTTGTCAAGTATACAGAGCCTACTAACATTTGACCTGCAGTAAGTGACAGTTATTAGGACTGGGGAACGGCCATGTCCGCTGGATAATTTGATTGTACAGAGACAATCAATTGAGGACAGTCCACATTTTACAAAACACCACTAATTTGCATTCTCTGGACAGAATGATAAGTTAGCATTAAGATTTCTCTCAATGCTATCTCTGCTGATAGACACCTCTATGTCTATTGTAAGGTTTTTCTGTAAGTATCAAACTGACCATAGATCACTACTTATGTTTGTATGCAATATTAACTTAAAAACAACCAAATTTGGAGAGATTTTTTTTTTATTTTGATCATTTTGTATAAATTCTATTAAGGAATTCTTCACCTGCAAACGCTATCTGTGGGTCTATATATAGAACACTACATTTGTTTATGTGTCAAACATCTGACAAAGAACAAGTACATGGATTCCTAGCTAATCTTATTGGGTGAATTCCTGTTTGACATTTTGACCCCAGGGTTCCATCAATGGTCCTGAGGCTGACAGTAACAACAAATGGTAGGTTTTGTCCATGTTATTGATCTGTAGGATAAACTTACATCATTAGGGTGCAGATATGTACAGGACAGGTGTCCTACATTTTTGATAGCTCTAAATACTGAATTTACAAGCCAAGTTTGTTAGATGGAGTTTAGTACAAAAGTTTACACAAGTCTAATGATATTCATTTTGACAAAATTGAAATTTTCAATCTTGTTAAAGATTTCAATAGATCTAACCAAATTATTCTACAAATTTCTTCATTTAAATCAAATATTGTTAATTTTGAAGCACATTTTACAAACATTACAGTATAAATCTGTCACACTGATAATAGATATATCAAATAACTCTCTTTATTTTTAGAACACACTGAATAGATTGCTGATATTTACCGTACTTATAAGGTGAAGTTAAATATAAGGACAAAGTATTGTACAGACACATCAGTATTACTGACCAGGCTAGTGATATTTACCAACCTATATATGGTTCAGTAGAGACAGTATTGGTGTAGAAATATATAAAAAAAAACACCCCCCCCCCCCCCCAGCAGACACCTAGTTTTCACCAGGGCAGTCATTACTTTTTAACTCACTCCCCGAAATCTTTAATGTACTTGTATAAAGGTCACACTGTTAAGATATTAAAGGGAACAATAAAGTATTTCCAAAAAACAATAGGCAGCCAACCAATCTAACTACTTGAACTGGATCCTGGTTTGGGGCCTATTTAACTTTTCCTATCGATTTTAATTTGTCATTTGCCTTTTTAAAAGATAGCTAAAATGTGTCTGTAACACATGGGTGCCCCTGAAATTAAGGTTAAAGGTTGCAAAATAGCTTTATTTGTAGAGGCACATGAAACATGAAGCTACTTGATACTTGCTACAGTGCTCCTGTGATAACTGACCTGGACGTAGAAACTTAGCTGAGGTCACAGAGGTCAAGGTTAAAGTGACAAAGATGCAGTTGCATGTCCTTAACCCTTTCACCACTGTAGACCATAATGGACTCCAGATTAATACATGGTAGTGTCTACTAAAGTTACATAGGGGTGAAAGGGTTAACTGCAGCACTTAATCTATTTCTGACCTGAATGCAAAACAAAACCTTAACAAAACGGGTGAACCCTATGGACAGACAAGGGATACCCCCAACCACTTCCTGGCAGGGCAAACAAAACCTTAACAAAACGGGTGTACCTTATGGACAGACAAGGGATACCCCCAACCCCTTCCTGGCAGGGCAAACAAAACCTTAACAAAACGGGTGTACCTTATGGACAGACAAGGGATACCCCCAACCACTTCCTGGCAGGGCAAACAAAACCTTAACAAAACGGGTGTACCTTATGGACAGACAAGGGATACCCCCAACCACTTCCTGGCAGGGCAAACAAGACCTTAACAAAACGGGTGTACCTTATGGACAGACAAGGGATACCCCCAACCCCTTCCTGGCAGGGCAAACAAAACCTTAACAAAACGGGTGTACCTTATGGACAGACAAGGGATACCCCCAACCACTTCCTGGCAGGGCAAACAAAACCTTAACAAAACGGGTGTACCTTATGGACAGACAAGGGATACCCCCAACCACTTCCTGGCAGGGCAAACAAAACCTTAACAAAACGGGTGTACCTTATGGACAGACAAGGGATACCCCCAACCACTTCCTGGCAGGGCAAACAAAACCTTAACAAAACGGGTGTACCTTATGGACAGACAAGGGATACCCCCAACCCCTTCCTGGCAGGGCAAACAAAACCTTAACAAAACGGGTGTACCTTATGGACAGACAAGGGATACCCCCAACCACTTCCTGGCAGGGCAAACAAAACCTTAACAAAACGGGTGTACCTTATGGACAGACAAGGGATACCCCCAACCCCTTCCTGGCAGGGCAAACAAAACCTTAACAAAACGGGTGTACCTTATGGACAGACAAGGGATACCCCCAACCACTTCCTGGCAGGGCAAACAAAAACCTTAACAAAGCGGGTGTACCCTATGGACAGACAAGGGATACCCCCAACCACTTCCTGGCAGGGCAAACAACACCTTAACAAAACGGGTGTACCTCCCTATGGACAGACAAGGGATACCCCCAACCACTTCCTGGCAGGGCAAACAAGACCTTAACAAAACAGGTGTACCTCCCTATGGACAGACAAGGGATACTCCCAACCACTTCCTGGCAGGGCAAACAAAACTATGTAAAGACAAGCAGCTGGCACATAATTTGTGATCAGACAGAATGGAACCATGTTGTACTTTGTCCTTTATACAGCAGTTCTACCTTTGTGGGGTAGATACACTGATCAATATCTTAGGCCACAGCATTAACATTCCCAACCTTTCAAATATGAATATTGATTTTGTTTGCTATGTATTTAGACATTATCTTGTGCGAGATATTCTAAACCACACTACCCAATATCTTTGAGCCTATCGTAAGGACAAAACATTACAAAACATCTTTTATACTAAAGTGTAACATTTCTGACTATAACTTTCAGAAGTTTTCTCTTCTGTGTGATAGATCTATAGAGACAGTCACAATCATCAATGTAGTTGTTGAATGGAAAATATATCCATTAATTGCTGTTATGTCAATCCCTAAAATACAGTGACAATTTTTTCTAAAAAAGTAAAAAAGAATAGTTCATTAACAAAATATTGAGGTAACTTAAAGTTGCAGATATTGATAGCAGGATTCTGTTAAATAGCTTGCTTCTTGGTCTAATTTGATGTACTAGAAATAATCGGTGTCAAACGTCACAGCTGTTTAAGGTATGTTAGTTGTTTAGGGTTAATAAAGCAGTACTTTCATGACAGGGACAAGCTCTTGAAGTCCTTACAAATTCCGTCTATACTAGGCATATGGCATGCTTAATAACTTCCGCATAATCTCTTAACTTCTTAAGGAGATACTTATCTCACACACTGCCTCCCTTATAGACTTATACACTTCTTGGTTTAAGCAATTCATTGATATAATCATAAAGATATGCATTAATTGTGTAACACAGTGACTTCATTTTTTTTTGTGAGCATGTTAATTAATATGTTTAAATGTTAATCTGAAGTTGTCCGTCCCTGACATCTGTGCAGCTAAGTACATCGCACATACTTATATCTATGACACAATCATGTACCTACATAAGTTCTGAAAGGCAAACTAATAGTTTGTAAAACGTGATAATCTGCATGTTTATGTAAGAGTATCATTTTCTGATTCAGGTATTTCTTTCATTCCAAATGGTATTGAAGATAGTGTTATAACTTTTATACACCTGCAACAAAATTTGGATTTCCTGGAAAAGTCCTTCCTATTAGACTTGTCTTACAATAGACACCCTGCTCTATCCAGCACACATCCTAGCATTGCTCTATCTGGTCAGAACAAGCATACACATCAGCTGTTCCATCTAGACTTTACATAAAAGGAGACTCCCTCCTCTGCCCAGTATACACTCTGTTG